CTTCTGTTGACGTAGAGGAAGGCCACCAGAGCCCTCTAGCAGCCGCCTCACTCTTGTGACTCATCTTCAGCTTTCATTCAACAAACTCCCAAGTCTTATTTCTCACGACCTGTGTCACTGTCTTTCCTAACTTGTCCCTAGACAGTTAAACCCCAGTCCAAGTCTCTATTTTTCCCTTCGAAATTCTGTCTGGTTAGTTTGGGCCCATAGTTCCAGGTTATAGAGAACTCTGTATTGTCTTTCACACTGAGCTACGTCCTCAGCCCTTTTTTTTTTTTTTTAAATTTTGAGACAGTCTCATAAAGTCACTAAGTTGCCTAGGCCAAGCTTGAACTTGTGATCTTCTTGCCTCATCCTACTAGAGTGCTGGGATTACAGGTGTTCACCCATACACTTGGCTAAACTCTGTTTTGTCTGAAACAAATCAAGCATATATCCCTGTCCGAGGCAGGGCTGAGAGCTAAGGATGAGGGATTCAGGGTGGATCCCCAAAGAATGCCCTAAAGCCCCCACATACACCTGCTGCCAGACTCCCAGGCTACAGATGCCCGTGGAGTCTCCTCAGTGAAGAAGTCACATGGAGCTTGGTGACCTTAATTACCCAGGGATGGGCTCCAGGCCTTAGTGGACAGAAGGAAGGAAAAGAACAGCAGATCCCACTGTGAGCTGAGCACTTGGCCCCTCCACATCCCTGCTCCCTCTAACCCCAAGGCAAGGATGCTGAGCTCTGCTCTGCCCCTGCCCTGGGCTTGAAGCTGCTTTCTATCTAGATTCCTAGCACTGTTCCAGCCTCATGCCATCATCATATTTTCTGGCCTTCAGGAACAAATCCCTGGCCCATGCATTGGTCGTGGTCTGCTGGGCACCGGCCTATGTCACATGATGGTGTAGCCCATCTGGTGTATGCACAAGTCTGTATCTACTGTGTCTACACAGGGTGAATGTTGTCACCAGAGGTGTGCTACCACTCAGCTATATGCCCAGCCTTTTTCTATTTTGTTTTGAGTTGTTGTTGTTGTTTTATTTTTTTAGACAGGGTTTCAATAAATTGCCCAAGCTGGGCTTGAACTTGTGGCTCTCCTGCTTCCGCCTCTTCAGTAGCTGGGATTATAAGCCTGCACCACCATGACCAATTCTGCTACTTTTTGTGGCAAGGAGTATCGAGCTGCTGATCCTAGCACATAAAGTGTGCTCCCTCTGGTGTAAGCCTAGGAGGGTTCCCTTTGGTACTACATGACCTGACTCTCCTCCTCTCAGGTCAGGACCAGCCTTGCTTTATTGCCTCTGACCCCATGGTTTGGGGCAGGAGGGGGACAGAACCCCTGGTTAGGGGAAGTGGCTTTGATACAAGCCATTCCTGATCCCCCAAAATGTCTGACACATCCTGCTAGTATGTATTCCAACACCCAGAACCCCTCAAAGTATCCCCCTCCTGTCCTCCCCTCTCTGAGGACTATGCCAAACCAATACCTCTTGCCAACGAGGAAGAAACAGATGCCCTCCTCTAAACCTGAGTCCTGGGAGATGGAGTCCCCAGAGAAGTGTCCCAGTGTGATGATTTTAAATGGGCAATAAGCCAATCAGCCTGGATGTTTTGGTTTTTGAGACAGGGTCTTGCTATGTAGTTCAGGCTGGCCTCAAACTGGTGGCAATCCTACTGCCTCAGCTGCCTGAGTGTTGTAATTATAGGCGTACACCACCATGCTCAGCCTGAATGCTTTGGAGGGTGAGAGCTTGGGCATTATCATGAAGGCCCCTGGGCCAGACAGGCTGGCAGGACCCTAGGCAGTGGAGCAGCCAGGCTCCAGCCTCCGCCCAGGCCCTGCACCTCTCCTCCTCCTATCTGAAGCTTGAGCTCTGCAGGAGGACTGCTTACCTCAGTTTCTCCTTTACCTCCTGCTGAATTGCAGTAAGTCAAATGGCAAGGTTCAATGACTCTCAGAAATAGCTCCCCATTGGGAACGGAAACCCACAGTGAGCAACAGAGGCCGGCGGCACTTCGGAAGGATACACAGCGGGGGTCTGTGTCCCTGCTGAGCCCAAGAAGCTGTGATTCCCAGTGGAAAGAAGGTGGGTTTGAGTTGGTCCTTGAAGGAAGGGCAGGAATGGAGAGGCAAACTTGAGAGAAAGGCCTGCTGGGACAAGGGAAGAATTTAAGGGAGGGCTGGGAGACAGGATTGTGTGGGGCGGGAATCGGAGCAAGAAGCTGGTAGGATGGTGTACCCGGAGGGCAGGGTGCCTAAAGCAGTAACAGTGTGGTGGCCCACCCTGTAATCCGAGAACTCTGGGAGGCGGGGGAAGGGGGCTCACCCCTGGACAATTTAGTGACTTAGCAAGACCCAATCAAAAAAAATTAACAAAAAAATTTTTTTAAAAGGAGCTGGAGGGCCAGCGATTTAGCTCAGTGGCTCCTCTGCCTGCCTCACAAGCACAAGGCCCTGAGTTCAATCCCCAGTACCAAAAAAACAAAAAAAAAAAAAAAAAAAAAAAAAAAAAGGAAAGAAAAAGAAATAAAATCTGACAGATCAGAGGAATATGCATTTTTTAAAAATTTAAAGGTCCTCTTTAGAGTTTACAATGTACCCTACAGGCCCATACTTTTCACATGAAAATAGAACTTTTCTTTCTTTCTTTTTTTTGTTTTTGTTTTTTGAGACAGGGTCTCACTGTACAGTTCAGGCTGGCCTTGAAGCCATTGTGTAGTCCAGGCTGGCCTCAAAGTCAAGGCAATCCTCCTGCCTCAGCTTCCCGAGTCCTGGGATTACAGGTGTGTGTTAACATACCTGACTAGAACTATTTTCTTAAACACAAGCATATATGTATTTGACTACACAGTCAAAGTGAAGAGCTGTTGTTGAAAAGCAAGAAGGGGAGCTTTAGCCTAGTTCCGGGGAACCCTGGGATGTAGATACAGTCATGGGCACTCATGAAGTTTACAGAGTCATGCAGTATAGGATGCCCCGAAACTGCTTCTGAAATTCAGCACTGTGTTAAACATCTCCCCTAGGATGACATGCCAATGGCATGCCACGCATGGCACTGTGTGCTGCTGTGTGAACACAAGCAGTTTGGCTCACTCCAGCCTTCCACTGATGAACGGTAGCACAAAAATGAGTTCTTCTTTAAAAAGCTTTGCTATTAAACGTGAAACTGGAAGGGGGGGTAATAAAGATTTTTTTTAAAAAAGGGTTGGCATGGGTCGGGTGTGGAGGCTCTAGCCTGTAATCCCAGCACTCGGGAGGCTGAGGCAGGAGGATTGCTGTGAGTTCGAGACCAGCCTGGGCTACTTAGTGAGTTCCAGGGCAGTCTCAACTACATAGTGAGACCCTGTCTCAAAAAACAAACAAACAAAAAACCAAACCCAAAACAAATGAAAAAAAAAAAAGATTTTAAAAAAGAAAATCACTCTGCTGGTGATAGGAAACAGTAAAGGACATCAAGCAGGACATTTACATGATAGTGTGTGTGTGTGTGTGTGTATGTGTGTGTGTGTATTGTTTTGTTTTGTTTTGTTTTGAGACAAGGCCTCACTATTTTACCCAGGCTGATCTCAAATTTGTGGACCCATTCGACTGACCCTCCTGCCAAAGCCTGCCAAGTAGCTAAACTATGGGTGCTTGTCACTATGCTTAGCTGGGATTTGTGGTGAGAAAACTGGCTACCACAAGGACAGTTTTCCATGAAGGAAGTGGACAGGAGTGGAACAGTTGTCAGGAAAGGGACTGGTGGAGAGAGCACCCTGAGCATTAAGGTAAATGGTTAGAGCAAGCCACGCAGAGGGAACAGTGCCAGAAGGGTGGGAAAGGGCTTTGCCACTTGCCCCAATGCATTCTCCCACCCCCTTCTCACACAGTCACCTGCTCCAGGGACCCGAAGGGAAGACCCAGGTGGGGAGCGGGCTTGCTCATCATTGTGAGTCACTGTGTGACCCACAACTGGGGCCCCTGGTTGCAAGAACGCCCTGTTGTAGCCAGTAAACCACACACTGCTTGGGGGAGACCTTCACGCTCCTGAAAGGGGAGCTGGGGGGTGGGGTAGAGTACCTGCCTTTTTGGGGCTCATCATTTACACAGTTGCCTTGTGAACCCGCAGAGTTGGGTACACTGAGTTTTGCATTGCACGAGAAGGGGGCTGGCGGGAGGGGGGAGCAGAGCTAGGAGGTGAGGAGCAGGTGCAGGGGCAGCTGTGAGTGAAAGGTATGAAAACAGGCACCATGTCTTCCTCTGTGGTTAGCGGTAAACAATCCGAGCCCTGGGTGATGGTGGGAGGTGATAGAGAGGAGAGGAGGATGGGGAGGAGGGAACTTCCGGAGCCACAGCAAACACGCCCCCTTTGGTCACAACTGCCTCCCCTCCCCTTTGCCTGGTCTCCTTCACTTCCTCTGCCTCCCTACTTCTCTTGCTTCTGGGCTTTCTTCTTCCTGACTCCCCTGGCAAACTTGCAAGGAATGGGAAGTAGCCAGAGGTGCTACATCTGCTGCCCTCCCGAAACATTTAGAAGAAGCCCAGGCAGTGCTACTCAGCGGAAGGAGTGTTGGTTCCGGAGGGAGGCGACCGTGATCTTCAGAAAGACACTACTGGAAGAATGCCGTTCTGTGTCTTGAGCTTGTTGAGTGGGTCACGGCACGTGGGAGGCCATGACCACAGTTTCAGCATTAATGGAATAGGGAGAGGAAGCCTGCAGGCCACAGCAGCACCTACCTGCCCCTTCCCCACAGCAGGCTTCTAGCATTTATTGACTCTTACTCTGTTCAGAATTAGAGCAGATTGCTTTTGTCCCAACCAGATCCAGTCCCCAGTAGCAGTCTTCCGTAGCTCTGGACGCACAAATACATAAGACACAGGTACACAGCCTGTTGGTTTTAGAAGCATGTCCACGTCTCCTTTCATCCTCATTGCTGCCCTGTGAACGATTAATAACTTTTACAGAGGAAAAAACCGATGTTGTAGGCTGGGGTGTAGAATACTTTCTTAGCACGTATGAGGCCCTGGGCTTCAGAAGGCTTTGGAGAGCACCCCCCAAAAGAAAAAGAAAATTGGAAAAGGGCACATGAAGGAAATTTGGAATATGGTGAGTAGGACATACTGGAGTGCGGTTAGCCTGAGGGGACAGGGTAGAAAAATTTAGACAGGAGGTATAGTTCTTCTAAGAGAGGACAGACGAGGGATCCTCAGTTCTCACTCCTGTCTTCTGTCCCTGCAGTACAAGGAGCTGGCCAACTACAGTGACAGCACAGAGAGCCCTCTCCTGGAGAGCCACTTCTGCTCCACTGCTGAGGGGCCCCTTCTGACCTCCTTCAAGGCTGTGTTCATGCCAGTGGCCTACAGCTTCATCTTCCTTCTAGGGATGATGGGCAACATCCTGGTGCTGGTGATCCTGGAGCGGCACCGGCAGACTCGCAGCTCCACCGAGACCTTCCTGTTCCACTTGGCAGTGGCTGACCTCCTGCTGGTCTTCATCCTGCCCTTTGCTGTGGCTGAGGGCTCTGTGGGCTGGGTCCTGGGGACCTTCCTCTGCAAAACTGTGATTGCCCTACACAAGATCAACTTCTACTGCAGCAGCCTGCTCCTGGCCTGCATCGCTGTGGACCGCTACCTGGCCATCGTCCATGCTGTCCACGCCTACCGCCACCGCCGCCTCTTCTCCATCCACATCACCTGCGTGGCCATCTGGCTGGTGGGCTTCCTCTTCGCTTTGCCCGAGATTCTCTTTGCCAAGGTCAGCCAACCCCATCACAACGACTCCCTGCCACGCTGCACCTTTTCCCAAGAGAACCAAGCTGAAACTAACGCCTGGTTCACCTCCCGCTTCCTCTACCACATTGGGGGCTTCCTGCTACCGATGCTGGTGATGGGCTGGTGCTATGTGGGGGTGGTGCATAGACTTTGCCAGGCCCAGCGGCGCCCTCAACGGCAGAAGGCCGTTAGGGTGGCCATCCTGGTGACCAGCATCTTCTTTCTCTGCTGGTCACCTTACCATATTGTCATCTTCCTGGACACCCTGGCAAGGCTGAAGGCTGTGGACAATAGCTGCGAGCTAAATGGCTATCTCCCTGTGGCCATCACCATGTGCGAGTTCCTGGGCCTGGCCCACTGCTGCCTCAACCCCATGCTCTACACCTTTGCTGGTGTGAAGTTTCGCAGTGACCTGTCTCGGCTTCTGACCAAGCTGGGCTGTGCCGGCACTGCCTCCCTGTGCCAGCTCCTCCCGAGCTGGCGTAAGAGCAGTCTGTCTGAGTCAGAGAATGCCACCTCCCTCACCACCTTCTAGGCTCCAATACTCTGCTTTGTTTCTGCTTTCCTTGGGGTATTCGGGGATGCTGGAGCCTCTCCCAACAGGAGCTGGCGTCCTAAAAGCTATAGTGGTCAGCGTTCCATGGGGCAGTGAGATGAGCCAGCCCTCCTTGAGGATGTCCCTGCAGCTCTTCCACAAGCCCCAGGGCTGGGCTGAAGGCCAAGGAGGGGAAAGCAGCTGAAAGGCAAAGCAAAAACTGTCTGTACCTGTCTGCATCACCCTGAGCTGAGAGGACCCTGCATACCTCTTCCCATCCTCACTAGCCAAGATACAAGAACCAACATTTACTTCTACCCTGGCCAGTAAGAAAAGTTAGTCCCCTCCCAGAATATACTCCATTATTTTAGGGCTACTCACTGCTACAGCTACCTGCCTCTCCTCTGATGCCACTTGCCGAATGAAGTCAGAAGAAGATGGGCACCAGAGGATGAGTCAAGTTAAGGCTGAGGGACGATCAGCTGGCAGCAGAGTGCCCTTAATGCATCTCAAACCCTTGAACTCAGACATCCTGCCAGGATCTGAGCCCTTTGGCCATCCTGCCCAAGTGAGAACGTTGCATTGATTCACTTTAAGTGACCAAAACAGCACTTGGTCAACCCCATGTCACTCGGTCCTGGACTGCAGATTGAGAACAGACCTCAGGTGCCCACAGAGGGCATCCAGTGCCCGTCAGGAACTAAAGGAGAGCCAGGAGAGGAATCCAGTGGAGAAATGGATAATCTTTCCCCAGCCCCCAAAGAAGACAAATACGAATCAAAGCCAGCTGTCATCTCTCCCCAGGGACCAGATGGAGATGGGTGGAAATCTCCCAAGATGGACATGAAGAGACAGGATCCAGGGCCCTAGTGGATTTTGGGTACTGATGGAGAAGAAGACAGACTTGGTCCCCATTTCCACAATCTACAGGGCCCATAAAAACTAGAACAGCAGAGTGATTTGGAGCACAGCAGAAGGACTTAGCTAAAGGAGTCAGAATGGCATAGAGACCCCTTGGGGAGAAAGACAGAGTAAAGGGGCCCTCCGGAAGTCATCTCATCCAGTCCCCAACCCCCATGTCACCTTAGGTAGGGTAGTGTGAAAATCAGACCTGGGCAGGGAAGTCCCCAGACCCCAAGAAGCCTGCCCTGGCCCTAAGAGGATGCCACTCAGATGGAACCAGAGGAAGCTACTCCATGCTTAGGGAGGCCTGTCAGGCAGTTCCGGGCTCTCCTCCCCTTCCCAGCTTGGATTAGGGTGGGGGTCAGGGGCCCCTGCACCTGCTGAAGGCCCATCTGGGTGCCCAGTTCTCAAGCCCATCAGCCAAGTTCCCTGGGAGGCCCTCACTGAGAAAATCAGGGGTGTTCCCTTACCGTGAAAAGATGGGGAAGCCCTGGGGCCTCCCTTTATTTTCCCTAGCATTCGATAGCCAGCTGGGCAGTGGAGGAACCAGACACAGAAGCACAAAGGCCAACAGGTTGGATTTTGAATTTTCTTTTTAATAAAAAGGCACCTATAAAACAGGTCAATACAGTACAGGCAGCACAGAGACCCCCGGAACAAGCCTAAAAATTGTTTCAAAATAAAAACCAAGAAGATGTCTTCACATATTGTATTTATATATTTATATTTATATATATATATTTATATAATGGTACAAAATGGCTGGGGTATGGCCATGGATGGAGGAGAAAGGCTGGCCGGTAGAGCTCACCTGGGGAAGCTAGTGGCGGAGGTGGAGCAGAGGGGACCAAGAGGGTGTGGGCCTCTTGCAGACTAAGCCCTCCTGGGGCAGGAAACACTTAGAGTAAGACAGTTTGGGCAGTCTTGGGACAGGGCGGGGCTTGGGGGCACAGGGCCCCAGACAGAGGCAGGGCAGGTAGGCAGCATGCCAGGCAGGATGGAAGGCCATGGCCCCCAGGAGGTGCTGGGGGAGTCAGGAGCCCACAGCCGGCCTGAGTGGAGGAAGCGGCGCTTGACCTGGCTAATGGTGGACCAAGAGGACAGCACCAGACTGGGAGAAGTGGGCATGAATTCCCTTTGTATTACAGCTGCCAAGGTGAGACCAGGCCCTGCAGGTCAGGAAGGCTGGGAGTGGGGCTCTGGTAGAAGACACCCTGTCTAGAATGGCCCTTGGCCCTGCAGGTGGGGGGCACAAGAGGGCTTGGCCAGGGAACTGCCCCACCACCTCACAGGGAAGGAAAGGAAGTGAGAAAAAGAGGTTTCTTACTCCTGGGGCCAGTGGGGTCAAAAGTCCCGTATGGCTTCAACTATGACCAGTGGCAGGTAAGGAGCTCTCCTGGGAAGGAAGGAGGGGACTGAGAGCAGGCAGTGGCTGTGCCTGGGTAAGCATAGATCTGGCACACACAGCCCTGAGCCCTGGGCAAAGGGACCTTGCCTGCGAGTGGGCAAGCATAGGAGGTGGCAGGATGTTCCCAGCTCCTCCGGTGCTCCTTCCACTCCAACCTGGGGATTGGAGGCTGGAGGAAAGGCAGACTAACTCAGCCAAACCCTGTTCCTTCCTTCTTTGGTAAGAAGTAGGTGGTCACCTCTGGAAGAGTTGGAGCTCCTGGGCATTACCTGGCCCAGACAGCCAGACTCCAGCAGAGCAGCAGGCCTTCCCTGGCTCCACTTAAAGGGCCACTCAAGACACTGCCCCTTCCTCTTCCTTCATCCCAGACTGGAGACAAAGGGCTTCAAGTTCTGGCTTAAGATGTAGCAGCAGGGGCACCCAGACCTCCACAGCAGGAAGCCATAGCCCCGTGTGACTGGTATGGTGTGTATACACACACACACACACACACACACACACACACACTCACACTCTCTCTCTCTCTCCCACTAATCACTCAGCAGCAGGCAGGCTGCTGCCCTGCTGGGGCTCACCAGGTGGAAGCCTTGGTGGTCTGACCTCAGTTTAGGTGTGGGGCACCTATGTCATCTTACCACTTGGAGAAGGGATAAAAAATGGTGTCCTTTAGGGACCCAGAGATACTGCACAGTGGGTGGGTATATAGGACTACATGTCCCTGGGTCCAGGGGAATGAAGGGGGCAATCATCTGAAGAAGGGGTTTTCTTTTATCCTTTTTTTTTTTTTTTT